GGGACGCAAACAAACGACGCCTATTGGCAAGATTTTGACGGTCATTGCTGACAAGACAACCGCTACACAGGCAGCACACACGCGAAAACCAACATCATGAGCTACACCCGGCACTTGCACCATAAGCAAGAACGTGCGCGGGGCCGACCGACTGTTGCACGGGCATTTCACGTCGAGGGCTATCACGCTGAGCGTGGGGCGTACCGTCCCTCAAGGAAGAACAAAGAAACTCGCAGCTGTTGCGGTTGCGACACGAGACCCATCCTCCCCGTGACTTCCGGACAAAGAAAAGACAAGCAACAGCAAAAAGATCAAAAATATTTCTTTGACATCGCACACATGAACAACCTCGTCCCGGGAAGCAGTACCCCCGTGACCACGGAAGGCGTCCCGCGACAGCACAGGTGTTAGAAGGTACTGAGCGGAGACCGGGAGGGTTTTTAACCTCAAGACAACAACAAGAGAAAAAAAAGCAACAACGACAACCCATGTTGGTCGGTCCCCTTGGTCTGTGGTTCTCACCTCATCCGGGGAGATGGCTTCGAGCAGGGACATCGGCCTGCCCGCCTGCAGCGCTCGGAGGCTAGCCTCCAACCTCTCCGCGATCGTCTCGAAGTCGATCTCGCTCTTGGAGCCGGGTGTTGCTGTTGCTCCTGCTGGAGCGGCGGAGAACGACGGGGCCCCGGGGCTGGCACTCTGGCCGTTGATGCCCGGGGGGGTTCCGCCCCCGCCCCCGCCGCCGCCGCCGCCGCCGTCGGTGCTCATCCCTCTCGTTGCTCCGTTGAGGTTGAGAGCAAACTCCGCGGACGTGAGCTCGTTTCGGACCTGGCGGGAGAGTGAAGCACGGCCGTCACAGGCCGCACCCATGAGCGGCATAAAAGCCGCTCCCTATGTATCTATGTAGCGGTTTGTTGAACGCGATGGCCACAACTACCTACGACACAGCAGTGTTTCGTGGGACGTTCGTTCACGGTTTCGTTTTCGTCTCTCGTGTTTATTCGTGGTATGATTCGGCGGATACCACCGTTCGATTGGCTGATCAATTTCGCTATCCCGCCCCCAAAGAAACTGGAACGCTATTCCCAAGCACGTGTGCGCGGTTATGTAACATACACACACACACACACACACACACACACACACACGACATTCGAACCGGTCGTCACGAAATTCCGATGGTGATGATGGTGATATGGCCAAACCCCAGTGCTGTCGAACAACACGCCCCTCAAACACCGCACCTGTTTGACCCAGTTCACCGCCCGCAGCCGCTGCCCCCTCTCCGTCCTGTTAGCGGTAGCCAAGATAGCGTTCGTTCCCCCTGCCGCCTCCCCGGCTCCCGTTCCCCCCCCAGCCGCCGCCGCCGCCATCCCGCCGTCCTGCCGCCCTTGCATCGCCTGCCCGAGCGCCATGGCGGGCCGACTCCGCCCGGCCAGGTACGGTCTTCGCGCGCCCCCTCCGATCCCAACGCCGGCCGCGCCCGCCGCCCCCACCTCTGGGGCCCTCTGACCGGCGACAGCAGGACCGCCGCTGCCGCCGCCGCCGGCGGAGGCGGCGGTGTTGCCGCCACCGTCCGGGCCGCCGGCGTCCGGGGTGATGCTGTTGGTGTTTCCCGTGTTGGTGCTGCCGCCTACTCCGCTGCTGCCGCCGCCGCCGCCGGTGCCGTTGAGCCCATTGTTTCGGCCGCGGATGTAGCCCCTTACCCGGCGAACAGCGCGGGAACCGGACAGTGAACTCCCCATGCCGGGGGGTTCGTGGGCTCGAGCGCCTGGACCGCCCGGGGAGGTACCCTTTTTGAAAATATGTTGATTCAAGGGGGGGGGGTATGTCGTCGACGTGTATCCAGCGAGGATATTGTTGGATATGAGGGAAAGGGAGGGAGGTCTGGTGTGAGTTTGCCGTTGTCGGCAATCTGTAGTAAATTGTGCGAAAAGAGGAGGGAGTCGGATGCGGTGGTAAACTCTTGGCTAACTACTATGAAGCAGGAAACACAAATACAAACACAGAAGGTATATAACCACAGTCGAACGGCATGTACGCCAAAGGTGGCGGTGTTACCTGAAGCCAAAAAAGAAGTCTCGTTTGTATTGAGGACACATAACACGACACCCCAACCCAACAAAGAGAGAGAGCCTGGAGACACGGAACACCAGCCATCAGGCAGGCAGCAGACTTTCTATCGCTATATGTGTGTAGGCAGAAGCACAAACAAGGAGAGCCTATGAATATAACCAGACACTAACGGGCGGTACACACGACGTTCACTCACGCGAGTGTGACACATGAAATTTCGAACCCGCTCTTCGTGCCTTCCTCGAAGAAAATACTTCACACTTGAAGCAGCCGTAGGCGAACAAGGGCGCTAAAACGGTAACGGCGAGGAAGGTTGATTGATCTTGCTGAGGATAACTTACAAGGAAAGCTACATTCGCATGATGCAAGAGCATACCAAGGCCACTGCTCGCCAAGGTGCCTCTGACACACAACTCAACGCCTTTGAAGAGAGTAAATACTGCTGTACTGGTGTATGCGTAGTGTAAGTCCACGTTATTATCGATTCATACCACACGCAGCAGCAGTGCTTGTACCCATGTACTGCCGAAGACCGCGGCCTCCCCCGCATTTATCCGACAAGCATATACAATTCCCGCCGGCGACGCTCCCCCTTGAACAGGCATGATGACAAATACACACCGACATCCCGACCTTCTTCCTTCCCCCGCCTTCGTAAACACACACCGATCGATCGATCTTAGAGGACCGCTCTGCCACTTACATGCAGAACAGAGGGCGCAAAGGCGTACGCCCTGGAAGAGCCCACCGCCAAGAAATAGGTGCACAAGGCCGTTCTCGCTCTCCGCTTATCCATGGCAAGTCTGCTGTAACGCTCCTCTCTGTGCTCGTGCCGCTCCTGTGTCCTGCTGTGTGTGTGTCGCATGTGCTACTGCTGTGCTCAATTTTCACCGGGGGCTGCGTAACGTACCTGTGTGAGTGGCTAGGAGAGAAGAATTTAGACAATGATTTACCGGAGCCCCAGGTCAAAACACCTCCACGAATGCCACGGCTCTGCTGCTACTGCTCAATCTCTCTTGGCCACTATCCTTTCGTGTGTTATACTATGAGGGCGCTGGCAGTGTTGACTTTTGCGGCCGCGGCCATCCCACTCAATGCCCAGTTCGGCATGGCGCCCAATCCAAAGAGCGAACCAGTCAAAGGTGAGTCGCCTGTGACTGCTGCTGTCGCATCCGCTCGCTCGATCTGCGATCCTTCTTTCCCCCCTGTTTTGGCCGGTAGATTTGCGATAATGTCTTGGGGGGAGGCTGGTGCCACTGAGCACGGTCGTAGCAGAACAGGCGGAAAACTCAGGTAGTCGCACGTGTTGTTGTATGGGACGGGACGTCAACGAGGTACAGCAAAAGTTCGGGTCTTTTTTGACAGGGGGTACGTCCGCTCGTCGGTCATTCCTCATGGCATGCCATGTGTCGTGGGCCCCCTCAGCTGGCGGATGAATTCCCGTGGTTAGATGTCTCTAGCGGGGGGGTGCTGAGAGAGATGGGCTAAGGAATTCTCGCTGACATCTTTCGGTTGTTGTTTCCGTCAGCGTGTGGGCCAAAGTGGGTGAGACAACGGCGGACTAAACTACGAATAGCAGTCCACCCACGTACATTAGACTCCAAGTATCGTCAAACGTTCTCGAAAGCATCGACAACATCGTCTCTGCGGACATGACCTCCTTGATCGCGTAACATTTCCAAGTTGATATACAGCGGTGTGTGAGATGTACAGCATATCCACTACGCTACAAGTCAGCCGCTGACTTGTACCATAGTGGATATGCTGTTCTTCTTAACAAGACGGTGTGCTGCACTCATTCACTGATTGCTGCACTGATTGCTCCGTTGTACTGGGCCAAGCAATCGTGTCCCTTACTCGGGCGTGATGGGGTAGGGATGTTCGCCGCTGGTTGCACGTCTCTCTCTTGCCGCCGCCGCTCGCATCGCCGTACATACACACCCAGGCTCCCCTTGCGGTCGTGGAAGCATGTTTCTGAGTATATCCCTACCCCGCACCTGACTGAGTTCCTCTACGTTCTCCTCGGTCTCCTCCCTCCATTGCAGGCGATCTGGCCGCAATTAAGTGCGGGGTCTGCCAAGGCCTGGCGGAGCACCTTTACGAGAAGGTGGCGGAGATGCGGGAGGCGGCGCCTTTCGGAAAGGTGTGCGTGTACTTGACAACGTTGTTGCTGTTGTTGTTATTTAGTGCCGTCCACACTCTCGCTGCCCCGGCGCCGGGAAACCCACAGCGCTGCAAATATATTGTTGGATTGGACGACCGCCGCAGGGGTCATGAGCCCTCGTCTTTGTCCGTGGGACTCCTCTCTCGCTGTGTTCGGTTTCCCCGCATTCTGCCTACATCTGGCGTGCGTGCATACCAACTCGTCGTTTCGGAGCTCCGTCTCCAAAGAAAAGGGAGTGCTGCTGATACCATTATACTGCTGTCTGTGGTGTGGGCTTCGTGATACTGCTGTGCGTGAGTAAGTAGAAGTACAGCAGTAGTAGGACTGCTAAAGCGGCTTGATACTGCTTTTTTTGACCCCCTCACGCCGCCGCTGAATACCACAACGCCCAAAGGTCCATGAAGACGATATCTCGACGGTGATAGAGGGAGCCTGCGACCCCGCAACTAAGGAGGGTCGATGGATCACGGAGTACGACATCGTGGAGGTGACGAAGGAATGCCATGATCATTCGTACCCCGCGCGCTCGGTAGGCCTGGCCCCCCTTGCCATTTAGTCATCCGGACCTTGACCCACACAACCCGCGGTGTTGCTTTGGTCACCAATCACCAAGGGATCACGAGCCCATCGAAATTCTCGTCGTTGCCGTGCGTTGATATGTTGGCTTGTGAGGAGGCCCTTTCGCTGTCGCGTTTTTTTCCTACCCGCAGAGAAGTGTGTCGTGACGATTTGGACGTTTCGATAGATATATACATGTCGACGTTTCCACGTGTCGTGTTTTCCCAAAATATGTTGCATACATTCGGCGTATTCGTGTCCCCTCGTTTGCTCTGGTGTGAGTAGAACTGTCCGCAACCTCGGTTTTGGTATGGGGTGGTACAGGTATGACTTGCAGACTGCCAAAAGCGTGCAGTTAGAGACGAATATGAGGTACCAACGATCGGTTGGCCATTGCTCGAAGCACTGGGTATTGGTCTGTGCGTCATTGCCGAGCTTGTCTCGTCTGTTTTCTCCCACGTGCCTTGAGTCAAATCAATATGGCTGCAATGGCTTCGGACGATGACGACTGTTGTATATATGCTTGTGCTGTGTGTTCATGTTGGTCTCTCTCTTGGCTTTGCAGGAGGGGGGATATCTCGAGTTGAAGAAGCAGGACAGCTTTTCCCACTGCAAGGAAGAGTGCGAGACCATTGCCAAGGTACGAATTGCTTGGGAGAGGGCTTGAGGGTTTTGTGTTTCGGAATCGGGGAGAGTCTTCTGAAGCTGCCACTGCTGTGTCACTTCTCCGTTTGGGCCCCATGGCAAGCACCTTGAAGCAGCAGTATTTAAGGAAACACTGTTACAACAGCTATCACTCCGAAAACATCCACCACTCCCCAACGCGTTTGTTTCATATCTACGGGCGTAGCGTAGCGTACCACAGAAGTTACACGGCGGTTAGGAGGTACTTAAGGACTCGCTGTTATTCTTCATGCCGAAAGTACTTGGCCGCCCATTCATCGCTTGCTGTTTCTACTGCTCCTGCACACAACTGGTTCTGCGCTGCTGCTGCTGCTGCTGCTGCTGCTGCTGCTGCTGCTGCTGCTGCTGCTGCTGCTGCTGCTGCTGCTGCTGCTGCTGCTGCTGCTGCTGCTGCTGCTGCTGCTGCTGCTGCTGCTGCTGCTGCTGCTGCTGCTGCTGCTGCTGCTGCTGCTGCTGCTGCTGCTGCTGCTGCTGCTGCTGCTGCTGCTGCTGCTGCTGCTGCTGCTGCTGCTGCTGCTGCCGGCGCCTTATGTGGAACTTGCGGAACAATCGAACCTTTCTTCTACACCAGAGCTGCACGGTGCTGGTGGATGACGAGTTGGACGTTGAGGAGGTGGTTGTGGCACTATGGAAGAACAAGCTGGGATTGTCGGTGAGCACACCCACAGGCGTTCGGCTCTCAATGCTCGGTAGCTTTCCACAGCGGTGTGTCATTTGTGGCATTTGCGCTGCTCCTGGACTGCTGTGCCGCCAATACTCTTTTGTCCTTGTGACGCCGTCTTGTCGACCACAAGCGTATTGTTTGTGTTTAACAGAACAGACGCCGGCGTGCAGGAAGGGCTCAGGACCCCTCTATGTGATATAACAGCGTGCCCAGAGAGATGAATCGGCAATGGGTAACGGTGAACGATTATGGTTGTGGAACGAGTGCAGTAGACGACAGGAGAGCACGCTTGCCTGTTTTTCTGGGGGTTGGCATGCTTGCGTTGGCAGTGTATCTACTATAATTTGCTCTGGTTGGGACGAGCTGCTGTCCAAAGGGTTTATCTTCATAGGTTGTCGGTGCAAGCCTAGAGGAACGTGGCAGCACACCCCCGCAGCACAAGACCTCGGTAGAAACTCGAAACGTGTTCGTCCCGCTGCTTGAACGGATCAAGGCTTGCATTGCCAGGCCAACCGACCGCCGGCACGATGTAGTATAGACTGCAGGTCACGCTACCCGCCACACACACAATCGTGAAAGGTTCTCGGCCGAGCGGCAGTGGCAAGGGTCGCGTCGCTCTACCTTAGCAAAGTGTTCGTGATTCCTCTGGGTCTGGCCTAGGGAGCTGCACCCCTTCACCACCTCTATCCCTCCAAGTCGCGTGCCAACCCCACCCTCTCTTAACCAGTTCTAGCCCAAACCCACGCCGTGTTTCTCGTGTGTCGGGGGACACGTTCGGGTTTCGAAAAACCTGACCGGACGCGCGTGTCCCGTGAACGCCATTTGCGCAGGAGCTTCAAAAGGCAGCTTGCGGGGAGTGGAGCGATCGGTGCTCGGGGAAGAAGCGCGTGAAGGCTCCGAAGAACCGCCAGGATTACGAGTTCGAACCGAAGACGGCGAAGGACTTCGAGGTGGCGGAGGCGATGGCGAGGTTGCAGAACTCAATGGGCGGGATGGGTGAGGAAAAAAAGCATATCTTGCGTTGATGTTGCCTTGTGTGTCGTTTGGTCGGTGGCTTGACTTCGTTCATGTATGTACCATCGGTTTTCAACACGAACCGAGCGGGTCTGGCAATATTGTTAGTGAACACCACAAGCCCCATGTTTGTGTATTTGTTTTCTCAGGGGCAAACATACCCGCCGTGACACTGGTGCTAGTGCGAATTCCCGCGCTACAGCAGGAACACGTAGGCTGCAAGTCTGTGTGCAGTGCAACATCCGAGCGCTCGCTTGAAGATCATCGTGGATTCAAACTCTTATTTAGTTTGTCGTATCATGCCTCATCTCCTTTTGCTTGATACCGGGCTGAAATGCGTGTCTAGGGAATGATGGGCACGAGGGATGGGCAGGTCGTGCAATAGCGGGGCAGGGAGTACTCACAGAATTCAATGTCTAGCTGGGTGTGTCAGCTCTGACATGTGGCGGGTAGCACTACTGTCGGACCAATTGGGATGCGAAGCCCCTTTCGCACGAGCAAAACGAACGGCAGTGTTACGTCGCGGGAAGATCACAGGCGTGATACGCGGCTGCCTGGCTGGCTGGTAACTGAACCATGGCAACAAGAAACGACGAGATCGACCCCCATCCTCGTCGCCGCCGTCCCCCAAACGGTGCTAAGGCCACACGAAGCTTCAGCCACAGAACGGAAGTGACAGTCTTTCCGCCCTTTACCACTGAAACAGGTGAAACAAACCGCGTCATGATCACTCTTTACTTCAGCCACAGAACGGAAAATGATAGCCACGCCAGTTGGAATCGCTGAAGCCCACCGACCAACGCCAAACACTGTAATCCACAACCAAACCCCCCCACAGGTGGACCGGGAATCTACGGCCCGGATGATCTCGCTGCGATGGACGCGATGATGTCGCAGATGGGCGACATGGGTCAAGACCCATTCGCGGACGACTTTGACATGGGCGGAATGGGCGGCATGGAGTTCTGAAGGAGTTTAGCATGACGTTTTACTAGTGTACGCCCGATCTGGTGGAGGAACGATACATTTCTGTTTTGTAGACTACGGGCGTTTCGGCCGATGAAGGGGATTCACATGGGGTCCAAAGTAGGTTTTGTGTGTACAAGTGGCACTGGTTCCTGTTGTTGTTGAAGGGGTGTGGCAAGGTTGATGTTCGGCCTTGGCCAGGTGTGTGGGAGGGACAGAGGGTGCTCAATGGAGGGTAGGTAACATCGTGTTGCGTTTGTGGTGTGGTATGCATATGGTGATCGTGTTGTTGGTGGTTGAAGGGAAGGTGTTGTTTTAGTGAACGGATCCTCCGCGGTTTGTTGCACAATTCAGGGAGGACGATAGGTGTTCTCCTTCCCTCGGCAATGTGAGATGACAGTTTTTTTTGTGTCTCATGACAGCAAGGGTGTGACTCCTTTCTCTCGTCCGTGGTTACGACCGTCTCCGCGCCCTAACCCCATTAGACTACGTCCGGACATGCCATGTTCCGAAACCCGCATGACAGCAGTGTTTCGGGGTCACAGAGGGGCGACCCCACTTGAGAACCTGGGAAATTCCGGCTCACGAAAATACTACTTTAATGTTGGCCTATCGTAACATGTGCTCACATCCGTAAGGGTCCTGGTTTCCTACAACCTACTTCGAGGGAATGAGAAACGAGGCTTGGCGCCGCCTGTAGTTGGCGAGCGAGGGAGGGGGCAACGACACAAACGAAGCGCTAGGAGAGGCTTCAGGAGGGGGAATAGCCGACCTGGGGCCCGAACATACTTCAACCTCATCAAGGTTGAGTGAGCTAGAGTGAGCACGTTAAATAACACCCCCCTATGTGCACCTTCCCTCCGTGTCATGAACCATATCGCGTCACCCCCCGTGCAACGTAGATGTGCATGTGACGGGCTGAAACATGCATGTTTGAAGGGCGAGGGTAACAGCACAGGTTGAACACCTCCGCTGCACGCACCTCAGCAGGAATCTTGCAAGAGTATTACCGGCATTACCCCTTGAAGTGTTTAAGTATATCAGCGGCGGACGCCTGCAAAGAAGCCGTGGTGACCCGTGCGTACACATCTCCGCTTGCCTCAGGCAACAGCAGTACTACATACAGCAGTAGTGATGACTGGTTCAGGATGTCGGGCGTTGGCGGTGCTCCTCACCTTGTATTCATCTCCATCTGGCGCCTTCCTAGCTCCAACGAAGGCAGCATTGGGTTGTTTCCACCAACATCGATCGGCATCTAGCCCTACATGCTTGTCCATGACGGCGCGGGATGAACTCCGCAGTGGCAGCATCAGCAGCAGTCGGCGAGGCTTCTTGGAGGGGGGGGCTGTTGCCTTGCTAGCGTCGGTCGCAGCTATTGGGCTGCCCGAACCATCTGTTGCGAAAGGGATCGACTTGTCAGAAGTAAAGGGCTTGGACGTCAGCGAAGTAATGCACTTGGGCGCTGGCTCGTCGGGTGGGAAAGCGACGAAGCCGCTGAGAGACTGCTTGCTGAACGTCGAAAGGGTGCGCATCTCGACCAAGCAGGTGACGAAGCACCGCAGGCTGTGCGGGAAGTGGTTTGATGACACGTATCATTCGATGTCGGCCCATTGGCACTCCCTCTTGCTTCTCGAGCAACAGGACTAGATGAACGGACTTGCAAGGCACCACGAGTTTATCCCTCTGCTGTTTCATGCACTTGCGCCATCGGTATGACTGCTGTGAAATGCACCCATTGGAGTAAGAATCCCGTAAGCCGCTCACGACTGCTATGAAACGCACCAATTGGAGTAAGAATCCCGCAAGCCGCCGCATGTGTAAAACAATGTGGATCGCGGCAAGCTCGAGAACCGAGCGGCGGTACAGGCAGTAGTAGTACAGAGTAGACTCACAACCAGGCTGTCGCTAGGCAGAACTTATGCTGGCGGTGTGTGTTTGCGTGCGAAGTCCTCCCGCTAAGATACACCCTCCATCGATACATCCTTTTCGAGCGTAACGAAAATACCGTACCACACCAGGTATCTCAGCAAATCCGTTTGTTGCAGCGCAGCATGAATCCGGTGTACGTATGTGTGTACACCTTGAAGTAACCCATATCTATTGACAAAAGGGACACAGACAATGGTACAACACGAGTTGTCTTACACCAGGGCAGCGGTGTACACAAAGGGCGGTGGAATTCAGTCGGAACAGAGCCGCACCACACTCGCTCTATGCACCCCGTGGTGGTATACTCCCACTTGTAGTACCAACTGTGAACCCCACATCAACGAGTAGTTAGCTTTTTTTTTCGCCCCGTGCTATGTAGAAGGGGGCTTGTTGGCATGGAACATGCCATCACCGAACCCCTTCGTTTGGTATCCCCCCCCTCACCACCTTTTTTCGTGGTCTTTGTATTTTGTTGCCTTCCCGCCATACAGCTCGAGGACACCCTGACCAACGACGGCGCACCGCCGGGCCTGACCGGGCTTGTCAAGGGGCTCATCAAGAACTACAAGCTGGACGAGAGCCTCCAGCAGGGTGCCAAGTACATCGAATCTAGCGGGGACAGAAACACGGCCGCGTCCGCGGGGAGAGAGGCGCTGGAGTACCTGGCGCAGACGGCGGAGTACTTTCCCGTTGAAGTGGATGACAGGTATGTAGGCCAACATCTACACATCGGTTCGGCAGTCAGGCACTTTTGTTTCAAGAGAACGGTGGCAAGGCGTTGGTGATGGCAGTACTTCTTGCAGCACTGACGTGCATGTAGTAGGGAATTCTCCCTCATTCTAGTTCGCGGCCCTACCGGAGTTCTAGATGCTTGCCATGCTACTGACCCAGCTCTGCCAAGGCCGTCCAGAAGCAGCACCTGCAAGAAAAGCAACATCAGAGCAGCAGCATCATCATCAGCAAATATCCAGCGTGGGTGCTTGAGGAACTCGGATGTTCTGCTGCAGTTCGCGGCCTTGAACGACACTTCCATTTTGCCGCAAAGTAGCGGCTGGCGTGCAACAAGTACTATTTGGTTGCTAAGTGTGCGCGTGTGCGTGGGTTGTGCGCGTTGCTTTGTCACTCCCCTTAGAGAGGGCTTTGTAATCGCGTTCCTTGCCACCCCAGTGAGCCGAGGGTGAGTCGGAACGGGGTGAGCCGGAGGGGGGAGTGCTCATGTTTTGCATGCCTAGTGGTTAAACCATTGACCATGCGTCCTCGAGAGGACGGAGCATTGTTCCGACAGAACCGATCACCGATGGCCAATTCGTTGCGAAGGAGGGGTGAGCGTTTTGTTTGGGGAGGAGGGCGGGAAGTGGCACTGTTCGTTTCTATCCTGGCTGTTCCTTGTCTCCGTCCCCCCTCCGTTCAACTGTTCCCTCTTGACATCTATCTGTACCTTCCCCCGCTTCCTGCATCTCTTCTCGTCACCACACAACCCGTCAGGACCGGGGCGCCCAAGAAACTCAGCTCGGAAGCTCTCGAGTTCACAGTAAACGCCCTGATCGCAACCCGAGCAAAACTCGATTTGTTCTTGTCCAAGGTCCCGTCGGACGCACTAGCAGAGGCCAGGGCAGAGATTAAATCAGAGGGCGGCGACCAGTCATGAGGCCGGCCTCATGCCCTTGTTGCTGTTGCGGCGGAATGCGGTCGGCGTCTGTAGTTCCTCACACCGCGGCTTGTGGTACCCGGGAATCTGTCTGTAGAGCTGCCTTGTGTTGGCTCCGTGTTTGAATGTTGTCAGATTTGCCGGTGGGATACGGATATGTATGCGGGGCTAGACGCCGTCTGTGGACTGCCGAGGCCAAGCGTTAAGTCGGAAGAAGTCAATCGTGTAGATCACGAGACCTTGTTGCTTTTTTCGTTTTGTCTAGCCAGTGGAAAGCTCTTGCTTGGCGCTGATTCTAAACTTCGGACTCGGTGAAAGTTTTCGTTTTGTAGGCATGCAACGGAAGAAAAACGTAGAACTGAAATATTTACAGTATTTTGTGCACGTTTCATATGACATCACGTCACACCTCTTCCGCGATGATTGTTGGCTTTGCATCCCAACCTTGTTACTGTGCTAGACTGTGGAAGTGGCGTCAGCTGGGCTAGCCTAGCCTAACCGACTCGCGTCTGCACTACACTTCAGTAGTACTACCCTTTGTTCTCGCCGTTGTTTCGTCGATTCGCCCATCGAACTTCTGTTCGTTTGGCGCTGGAAATGGTATACTTGGCGAGAGAATTGGAGACTCTTGGCGTTGACAGTTAAAATAGTTCGACATGAGGTCCGGCCGGTACTGCCCACAGGGCGGGATGGATCGAGAGCGTGGAAAACGCCACCGCCTTGAACGCGTCTGCCTTGGCTTTCCTGGCTCATCCCCCGAACCAACTAACTCTCGGAACCCCGTCTGTCAAGAAACTGAGGAGAACGGTACACCGTCTCACCGACGGCAGCTCGCGCCACAGAGGGGTTACATAGGTTCAACTACAAGACGAGAAGAACAAACGTTCTGTACCAACCACACACAGACACCGATCGATGTCCTAACCGTGGTCTATTTTCAAAGCCATTGGTTAGTCGACGTTGTTGGGCAAAACCCCTTCGACCCCTCGGTATGTATCCGGTTCATAGAGCCCTCATTTTCTAGTTGACGATGGCGACGAGGGAAACAACAGGCTAGACTAAATTGTCTAGACTAGTGTTCCAGCGCTGGCCAGGCGATTAATGGGTTATTTTCGGCTTCTAAAAACCTCCCCCCCGGGACAAACTAGCAGTTGTAACGCAAAGGGTTCTACGTTTATGCAGCTCTCCTACCGTGGCAATTCATCACCTGAGTGCGTAGAGCAATGAGGTGTGGGATACAAGTGAAGGAGGCGACAGGACATCGAAGAGAGGGCTCACTTTCTTTTGAACGAACGCGAAAACGGCGCCAGATTTACGTAGTTGCGTTCAGACGTTCAGACGCTCAGATGCCGGCACATACAACATATCCCATATGATGAGCTTGGCAATAGACTACTGCTGTGCTCGGTGAGTTTTGGAGTCTTGCTGAAAATGTATGTTACGAGAAAGTCGACACTACTACTGCCGTACTGCGTTGTGATTTCAAATTCAGAGTAACAACGCCGAGCAACATGTTTCCCAGGTGACCTGCCCTAGTGCCACCGCCTGATGCAAGGAGAACGCAATCTCTTGCAGGACGGGAACATCCGTGGCAACATTGAACATGTTTACTTCAGGTACGGCAGAGTGGCTCTTTAACGTTAACGGGCCTGTGACACCGGGGACGGGAGGGGCACACGGCTACGAACACTAGGAAACGCCGCGTGTTGTTTGTGCCGGTTGGGGGCAGCAGTTTCGAATTTCGAACTGATGAAGAATCCGAACCGCAGTGAAATCCGGGGTTCCTCCAGAAACATCCCCCCCTCCTCGCGGCGGGGCTGCTGACTGACACATAGGCGAGTAATTACGCAACTACACCTTCAAGAGGCTCCGCCACCGCAGCTCTCGCCTGATAACTCAATTGAAGCCGTGTGGTAAGCACCATATCTTGGTGGGGTCCTCTCTAGACTATGTACAACCTTCTCTGCGTCGCGGCTGCGGCTCTGGCGTGCTTGTCCACGGCAAACGCATTCGGGCTTGGGGGCGGAGCGGCGAGAGGAGCATGCAGAGTCTCACACGCATCAAAGGTATGTGTAGCAGAGGAAGAGGCCAGATTGTCAGGCAGTAACACTGGCTGTGCTCTGCGAAACGGCCGCGGGCGTGACGCCACATGGGTAGTCTGTTTTGGGCAGTCCGTGTTGGTCCGGTACCTGTTGCGCATTTTTGCTCTGGGAGGCTTGGTTTGACCTCACGTTTTGCTCGGTCGGCCGGTGAGACGAAGACCCGGGTGTGCGCAGGGCGCGGGCTTGTGCTCAGCTCCGGCAGCTGTGAATGCGAACACTCTTCGATCCACCTCGAGGTTACTACCACTCTTCCTTGCTCCTGGCGGCCGGTCCAACCCACCAATTAGGTTTGGTCTCTCTGTAGTTGAACGTGTGTGTAGCAGGAGGGACCAAAAAGAAACATGAGGCAACACTGCCGGGCCGCCGTCGCCTCAGAAAACATGTTTCATTGTCCCATACGACGTAAATCACAGGGGGGGGCACCTGCTTTCTAGCGCAGGTTCGGAGCGATTCATGCTCGAGTGCTCCCGCCGTCTTTGTGTGTTTTCTGGTGCTCGTCCTGTCGTGTGCCTCTTCATGTCGATCTTTGTAAGTAAGTGAACGTCCAAGTTTGCGTCGTCATCAGCTTGGTGCAGTGCGAACAGTCGGTCGTTGGCTCTTGCCCACACCAGTCCACATTACACGGCACCCCCGTTACCGTACTCTGCACCGATGCGCAACGAACGTGTTCGGCTCACACAGCAGTGACCCACTCCCGACATGATACAATGGGGTGTTGGCGCTAGCAGTGTTGTGCGTTGGTGATGCTGTGCGTTCTGAACGATGTCGTATCGTACTCCGACGGCTAACGCTTTCTTCTCGAACTCCCCCCCGTCCCGCGCCAACATGACAGGCTTCTTCCGTCACTAGCGTGACTCGCCGATCCCTCGTGCCGCCGTCGATGTCGACGATGGAGGCGTCCGGGGCGGCCGATGTTTTAGCAGACCTCGACGAATTGGACTCGGTCATGGGCGTGGAAACGCAGGACCAGCAGGACCTCAAGCCGAAGCAGGTGTGTTGTGCATATGTGGACTTCAAAGCGTGTTCGCGTAGATTGGTAGATGCGGTACCTCGTTCTTTGCCCTGGCTACGACGGACCGGTGACAAGGACCGTTATGTGGGAAGCAAAGAAAGCAGAATGCCTCCTACCGGTCCGGAGAGATGCTTGTGTTCATCCTTGCCCTGGCATGACATACGGTGGCTGTACTGATTGAATTTATCTGTTGTCACCACGCACTAAATGGTTGTGTCCTATGTACACAGCTGTGGATTAGCCAACACCATGGCCCTCAAGTGAACTCTTTTTGAGTACTCGCGAGCAATCCCGCGGCGGAAGCAACAGTATTGTTAGGAAACAGTAACACAACTCGCGATTAAGACTACCCGCTCGAAATGTAACACAGCAGTGTTCTTGAATGAAACCATGAAATATTTGGGTTCTTCGCTTCGAAAAACATAAGCCTGCTTTTGCGCCATACGGAAGGCGTGGTTGGCAAAGGAAGGGCACAGCTGTCGCCGGTAGTACTGATTATTGTCGCACCCCGATGAGATTTCCGTAGGCTAACCGTCCCTGCAAGGGCATGCTGCACGAGCTTCGCCACATGAGTTTGAAGGCTGATATCGGACACAACAACACCTCGACCGAGTTGAACTTGAAGTTGCTATAGCATTGGTGTGTCTGCTCCACCTACTGATGGGTGGTGTGGGAAAGCGACAACATCAGGTGGCGGTAAATAGTTGGTGTAGCTTCCTTCCACCATACGGTCGCCCGCAGAACGCACATCAAAGGCCAGTCATCCATGCCTATGCACGTGGCTAGGCACCGGAGCCGCGTTTCCCCTCGCGCACTCGGGCGTTGGCACAAGCTGCGTAGTTGTCCGTCATCTCTCTCAAAACGGTTGTGTTCTCGCTCGCGACACACGCCGCTCCTGCTTGACAACGAACAAATCCGTGAGAGCACCAGCTGTAACGCATTCCATGCTTTGTAGTTGCCTCCGCGCCATAAATATATTTTGATTGTCTCCTCGAAACCTGCACTTGGGGGCCGATTGCGTGGTTGTTGTTGGCGCTCGTCAGACGACGGGGAACAAGCTTCCTCGGTGCTCGGAACGGCACCCCCCCCCCCCCCCCCCCCCCCCCCCCCCCCCCCCCCCCCCCCNTTGTTGTTGTGAGCAAGCGGCTGTATCGCCAAGTCATACATGAAAGATATCACAAACGTGTACCCCCCCCCCGACCTTGGTGCCGTCTTGTTCTTGTTATAGGACTTGAGCGACCGGTTTATGTTTCAGCCCGTCGCGGGCGGTGTGGTCGATTCTCTCGCTTGGTTGGATTTCTCCGAGCCATGAGCCTGTTCCATGGTCGGAAGCCGGCGTCCACGGGTGCGGCAATATGCATACACGGGCGTGAGGACCGCGTGCCTTTGTGTCTAGACTACAAGGGTATTCTTAATCACGATGTCCCCGCCCCGTGGCCTTCAACGTGGTGCCTACGTTTCGTTTTTTGCAGGCATACCTTAACAAGCTGGCGGGGCAGGCCGCGCAGCTCAAGTGGCGCAAGAACGACCTGGACACGGGCTCGCCTCGCATCGTGGTGGCCATCCTGACGGAGAAGATTGTGTACCTCACCAAGCACATGCAGCAGCACCCGCACGACTACCACTCCCGGCGCGGACTCATCACCATGGTCAACAAGAGGCGTAGGTGCGTATCAAGTGGGATCTTCGTGCGTGGTTGTCGCTCATGCGTTGTGTCTCGTTCCCTCGTGTTTTTGTTTTCGCCGTTAGTGTGCGCTGCGCGCTGTGATGGTATGGAAATGAACCGACAGCGGTCCGAATTTCTGCCAGTCAGGGAAATGCCGCTACTGCTGTTCGGGGATTGGTTTGCAATGCGAAAAAAAATAGCCCCCCCCCCGCCCGGGCGACCCCCCCCGGTGTTTGCCATCGGGATTGGGTTTTCGTCGCTTGGGAACGATGTTGTAAAACAAGCCAATTCACTTCGTGAACTCGGCAACCATGTTACCGGTTTTTATTTTTTGGCGGTAACAGTAATGGTGGTCGAGTAGATCATCTTGTGCGGGATGGAGAACCCTCACTCCGCGCAAGGGGGATGATCGCACCACGTTGTGTTAAAATGGTCAAGCACCCTCGAGGCAGTTACACAGTGCTTACAACTGTCTCTGGAAGTGAAAGCACCAGAAAATAAATTAAGTCATACGCCGCTGTCATGCGTACGCAAGGAAATAAGCACAAGATGCCGAACACCCATAGCAGGATGCAGCGCACCCTTCATGCGACTCGCCGAATATCTCACGGCGCTTCGCGCTTGGTGATGTGAGAGCCTGGTCCGGTGAGAACCCGGCGTGTTCCGTCCCGGCTTTGTAGGGATGCGAGGTCAATGGTCTAACGACTAAGGCATGCACGACTGTGAGTACACCCCCGCCCGGGCGACATGAAGCAAAGGCGACAGTTCGCGAGGAAGTACCCTGTGTCGACACCTGAAATATCAGATAGTTGGTGCTCACGCTCACGACCACCGGAGCGCGGCCGCAGAACGAGAGTAGTCCAGGAGCAGCAGCAGTGGGAGGCATCTTCCGTGACCACGAGTTTCGAAGGCCCCCCGCTGCAGCTGTGATTATTCTCTCTGTCGCAACTGAAACGGTTTAAATCAGTGCAGTCGACCCCGCTTGAAGGACGCTCGCGTTAAGGAAACGCCCCGCTTAAGGAAACTTGTTTTCAATGAGCACCGGGGGCCCGGCAGAAAAAACGATAGTGAGGCACCCCCGGGTTTTTGTCGCGTACCCCCTTTTTGTTTGTCCTGCGGGCCGCTCTTTGCACGCACCACGCACCACAGTGAGTGCAGAAGTAGCGACGCACAGACAGCACAAGTAGCGAGCGGTCTGCTGCTGCAGCTGTACTTGGGTGTTGGTATGGATAGATTCCTCCCATCTACCGGCGGTCCATCTGATGCCGCCAAAAAAACAGTCGTGCTTAACCTCGTCCCTCACCGAGGGCGAGGTTATCTATCGCTTGGAGGACGTTCGATCCTACAGATAGCTCCCGCAGTTAAGAAACGTCAAAATGGGTTCGAGCCTCACCAATCCCTTCTTTTGGGTCGAGATACCGGCCCAAGTCGTCCATTTCGTAAATGGTATTTCTTCTTCCTCTGGACTGTCGCATCCTCCCGAATCTCTTATTCCTCAGACTACGTGTACTTCGTACTTTCTTTTCTCCGTCTTTTGATCTCTGAGGACAATCCATATCATGAAGCCCTCAAGAGAGGTGGTGGAGAGTGCCATCAAACCCGTACATCAGCGGAGAGCATATGCTTGTCCGCGATGTGTGGCAGTACTACAGTACAGCACTCACTGTGAACAGCAGGGGCGCGGGGGGGACTCTGCCCCCTACGAAAAAAATGCACTTCTGTTCAGCTTGGGAGGGGGTTGGGAGCACCGCAGATTTCTGATGTCATGGGGGTATCGCACCATCGCGTTTCTTACTGGGGCGTTTCTTACGTTGTGGCCGACATTGAGCAATGTTTCTTGGCCCTTCGTTCTTATGTTTTGTACAAAGTTGAGCCTTTTTTCCTAACGGAATTTTCTTAACTGCGGGCGCTATCTGATCTGTTTTTATTTGTGCGCGAAGGGAAGGGGTGGCGAGTACCGTGAGACGCAGTACCTTCTTCCGAAGACCGTTCATTCGTTTACTCAGGAAACTCAACAGAGCCGTAGAGCCAAGCCGCGGGGGGAGGTTCAGGGAACTCTTCGCGATATGCGGAGGGAAAAGCCGTCAGGGTAGCTTTTGGTCTCCGTCGGGACAGAGATATGTACCGGTGTTCCTTGGTACGACGCTGAAATACGCTCGATTTTTTTTTGTTTCACAAAAATTCGATAAATATATGTCTACTTAGACTTTCCTTCTCCTTCCGCTGCGGGCTATTCAGTACAACATTAGTTGGTCAAGTACAAACTGGTGTATTGTAGTTGTTTCAACACGTCCCCGACTGCTTTACATCTCATTTGAAGCACTATAAAAATGTTCGACGCCAGCAAACGGTTGCCAGTCGTTTCGGCGATGCTGACTTTTTGTACCACACCCTCAGCAAAAGACGCGTAGTTTGAGGTATAGCATGCCTCCATTGGCCCCGGAAATGGTGAGCTATCGTCCCCTGAATTTCAAGGACACAACCCCGCTTCAAGGACGCTTTTTCTTGGAACATGTGCGTCGTTGAAGCGGGGTCGACTGTTTTTGCCAAACCGCAAGTTGCAATGCAACTTGGGAGAAAGCCAGGCTGTCATCTGCTTACTCACCCTCTCTCGCCGGCCGCATCATGTCTCCGCGCTCCGCTCTCTGTCGACTGGCCGTGTGTGTCTGCCCGGTCTGCAGGCAACTGAACTACTACTTCAGGAAGGAGCCCAAGGAGTGCCTAGAGATGTGCGCGGCGCTGGGGATCCGATTCCGCCCCAAGACCAAAGTCAGGGGCCGAGAACAGGTGCGTTCGATTGTCCGGTTCGATCTGACACCTGTAACTGAGCACTTCTTTTTCAGGAATATAAAACAGAGGAAGACAATCCCGTTCTAGATATCGTCACGGCAAAGAAAATTTATCGAGGAACGTTGCTGTCGTTTTCTCGTTTGCAACTGATGATCCAACCGTCGTTTTCGTTCCAGCGAATAGTCGTTTTCTTGTTTTGTTGTGTGTATTCGTGGGTCATTCCGCTGTGTTTTCGATATTTTTTCGAAAGGTTTGTCGCACTGCTTCGAGAAGATTTCAGGAAGATGTCACGCTTGTACGGCCTAAGCGTTTCTCTTGTGTCATCTGGCTCAAAGGTCGTCTTGATATGTTTTTATGGGCGTTTTACGGGTACTCGCTGAACGACATTTTCCCCTCGTCGTTTGGTGTCTTTGTGCTTTTATTGTGTCTACATATGAGCACCGACGGCACAACCGGATGCCCAATGCAAGACGGTAGTAATGGTGGGACGAAAAAGCGATTTTTTTCCTGCAGGTCCTCAGGGTCCCTAGGCTGAAAGGCCGCGGAGAATCTGGAAGCGGGAAACCTTTGGGACGAACGAAAGTTTCTCAATTCCGATCCCAACAATTGGTCTCGACTGCTCTAACGCTACCGCCGCTTGCGCCTCCGTTATGCGACCGCTTTGTTGTCTCCCCCCCCACCCCCGCCCCCTCTCTCTCAGCGTTACGCGGCGTACACCAACACCAAGTCCAAGATCGGTAACGCCCGCCGCACGGCGATGCTCAACAAGGAGCGAGTGGACCACAAGCAGGTTCTCAAGGAGCAGAAGCTGGCTTCCAGGCGGGCCAGGGGCTACGATAAATAAAATTGTCGTATCCGTCTGTCGCCGCTCGGACGGCGTGCTTGGTGTCAGGGTTGTTGATGATCCGATACTGCCGCAAGAGGTTGTTATGAAGCTCATGAAACGGTGTGCAGGTTTTTTCTTTTTTCCATGCTGGTTTGTTTGTCTGCAAGGTTGTCGAGAGCATTGAAAGGATTAGGTGGGTTCAGTGGGCGGCGGGAGGGTAGGGAAAGGTGACGGCGTTTATGTGATTGTGTCGGCATCTTTCTGGCCACGCTGTTTCGCGAGGGGATAACCTTTTTGTCGTTTTGGTCCGTGAGGTTTTGGTCACCGGTTTGATGTTTAAGGATCTGGCCGTTGTGCTGCTGGCCCCCCCGTAATCGTGAGCTTTGGACGATTCGTGATGCGCGATGGCGCTTCAGTCGTATCTTCGTGTCCCGACGGCCTAGTCTTCCTCCCCGCTGTTCTGTAAGTGACCGGACCTAAGGCTAGCGGTGCGTTTGTAGAGAACAGCAAGCTACGCGTCTGAGCGAACGTGCATCTCGAGATCTAGGAGGCACGCTCGTCTTCGGCACGCCGAAGGCATGGCACAGCAGTAGCACCATTTTGTTTCCGGGAGGGGAAACGGACAGGGAAGATTCGAGAAGCTATAGCGCGGTAGCCTTGTTGCGTGTTGCCGCTCTCGGAAGGGATTGACCAATGTGCGGTCTCCCTCCTTATAGTCCGCTTCCACAGCCGAAGGTTTGTGGGGCCGACCATTCGTGTTACAGTTTTAGATACAGGCTGATTGGCGACTTTCGAATCGACTTCCTTGACGAAGTAGTGCTTTCGGTACGCGAAATTGGGAAGAGGCTTGCACGCATGGTGTGTGGCTGTAAAAGTAGCTGCAATGCGCGAGCGGGCGTGTAGCCCTACGCTTTGAATTGTTCGACTGACTGGTGATGATCAAATCGCGAACCCGATATTGTCGTCCGTGTGAGGATGCTATCCGTGATATCTACTACCCGTCTCAGGACGACGGAGTCGGAGCATTACATGCTCGAGAGTGTTGAGAAAAGACTCATCATCTATCTGGATAGTACATGTTTGTCTTGGAGAAGGAATTGTGTTATACCTCCCACCCTTTGCGAGTCTCCATGCCTGGGACGCTGCCCTTGTCTCGCCACTACAGGGTCTTTGGTTCACACAAGTTTGAGGCGGGTGAAGAGGAATGAACACACACACCGCGCTTGAGCGCGGTACGCCACCCAACACTAGAAATCAACACTAGAAATCTGGGATGATTTATTTTGAGGAGTGGCCAAAATCAAAGGACGTGTTTGCACGACGCCGCCGTAAAGCAGTTTTTTTCATGTCCTCCAACAGCCTAGACTAGTCTACGGGTTCCTGAAGAGAGAGATGAAAGGTGCCCGCAGTTTTCTGATTGGCCATTTTTTTTTTTTTCTTAATATGACACAACGAGTCCATCTCTATCATAGAAAAGAGTCAGAGACAGATTAACAATGGAATCATAGCGTCAGAGAAAACTACCTGTGTGTCTCCGATTTCCCAGACAGCATATAGGGACATCTCCCCTGTGGGTAACAGGCTCAACAAATCAGTTTGGTAGCTGTCTTGTGTGTCTCATATATGTTATGTTGGGAAGGTGCAGACGAAAGGTGTTGGGTACTGTTGGGTAGTCGGGCGTTGTGTGTGTCGCACCCTATTAGTTCTAACACATGCAATCTCCATCAGTTTACAAACATATTCTCAGTTTGGTATGCATATGTGCGGAGTATGTGCTTTTTTGAAAGGAAATTTCCTGTGTGCAGAAATGTCGACCGATGACGTCAGCCACGTTCGTGAGAACACTTTTCGCTTCGATTAAAAAAAAGGGAAATGGACAAAAGTGGGTATACCCACCCCTTTCTCGGACAAAAGTGGG